ACCATATAGCAACCAAAAGGGATCTTCCTGAAGTACCCATGACATTCCCCAGCTCCAGTGGCTTCCTATTACCTCTAAAATCAAGTACAAACTCCTGATATTGAAAACCCTCACAACCTGGCTCTGACCTAATTTTCCAGCCTTATTCTACATTATTCCCCTTCATACACGCTACAGTTCAGCCAGACTGACCTTTTTACTTTTTTCCATGCACTCCATCTCCCATCTCCATGCCTTTGCCCAGGCTATCCTTCACACCTAGAATACATTCCCTCCTCACTTGTACCTCTTAATATCTCTAATTTCCTTCAGAGCTCAAATGTTGGACTTCTGGGTAACGTGGAGCAACAAGACGGTAGACCAGGCATTTTCTCCAATTCAGTCCTTTCCAAAACAGAAATTATTTACCTAAGATAAGCAATTTTAACTGTTTCCATGGTCTAGGACACCCAGAATCCAAAAGAAGGTTAAGAAAAAAATCCAAGAACTGACACTCACTGAGCTTGAGCTTACTCAGTACCCATCCCCCACCTCCCATGCTACTGAAGGTGAAGCTATACTAGCAGACCCAAGGACCCAACAAACTTACATGAGCGCTGCACTCCATTCCTGTGTCCTCTTTTCATTGTCTTAGAGACCCTAGATCCAGTCCATGGAAATATGTTTCAGGCCTTGATAACCAGCTTGGCCACAGCCCTTCAGGAGTAAGAGCCTGCCAGGGGCTACAGCCCACAAAGACCAGTGCTGCAAAGCCCTAAACTGCTGGAACTGGAGAAAGCAGGCTCTAAACTCTGGTGCTGCGCCAGAAAACCGAAGAACAAAGGTAGCGTGATAGGTTACCAGGACAGGACATTGTGTTTGCGGGAAGCTGTGCAGCACTCAACCAAGCTTGAAGGAAAGAACACAGTATCCAGCTGGAACTATTTCTGACCGCCCAAAAGTCATTTGGTACAGAGACATGGGATGGTGAACCATGAACTATCCAGTGTGGGAGGAGGCCGAGATGCTTTGAAATACCATCCCCAAGGAAATCACAGTCAGAGGGGAAAGACTTGAGACATGAGTGATAAGGAAGAGAGACAGAGACACTAAAAGTACCAAAGATTCCAGGAAGAAGAAATCTCCAAGACCTTGAACATCAACAGGAAAAAAAAATAGCCTCCAAATTTAATGAATTAGTTCAGGTATCTATGAATAAATACTATAAAATGAAGGGAAATGATCCAACAATTGAAGAGACAGAAGATCCTGTGGAATTTGAGGAGAACATGGAACCACAACACACTATTCTTCCGTGGTTTAATAGAAAAATAAGAATTACGAGAGCAGAATTTATATCTTGTACAGCACAAATAATGAGCAGAATAGAAAAACTTGAATCTGCAATGGTAGTCTCACCAAAGAAACAAAAGGGAGAACAATAGATTGGGAATGCAAATACACAGAAATGAATGACAGTCTAGAAGAAGAGAAGGGAAAAAAAACAGTAACATGAAAGTATGCTCACTATGCAATAAATATATCTGGCCTCCATTTTGTGACTAAACTCTTTGAAAAGGCCATCTACCATAGGCATCTCCATTTCCCTTTTCACTCTCTTCTTAACTCTGCAGTCTGATTTCTCACCTCATTATTCAACCAAAGCTGTTCTCTCCAAAGTCACCAATGAGTTTTGCCAAATCTGCCCATCCTTTTCTCAGTATTCGTCCTTCTTAAACATTCTGCAGCCTTTGACGTTGTCAATCACTCTCTTCTCTCTAGGTTTTCATGACATTATTCAAGGGGTGTTGTTGTGAGGTTCAAATTAGATAAAGCACAAATGCCAATTATTGTTGTTATTATTATTAGCCTACAGTCTTGGAATAACCTCATTCTCTAGAACCTTCTACGTTACTCCTGAGCTCAAGCAGTGTTTTTAGAGCATTACAGAAGTATGCTGATGAATGTTTAACAACCTTGGGTGGGGGCAAATAGGGGGAAAAGTATATGCACATATACTTTTCTGTTTACTTCACATTTTCAGTACTTTCTCATCAACAAAACAAGTCAAACCATGATTATAGCAATTGCTGATTTCTGAGGCATAAATGCTCACACTAAAAATTTAACTCTCTCTCCAAGCTGCTTAGAACTAGCTCCAGCATATCCTTGCATTGCTCCATCCTGCTTCTCTTCCCACCTATCTAGCCACTTTCTCATTCTCCTTTGCTAGATCTTCATCTAGGTCATACCCTATAATCCTGGGTGTCCGCTAGGGCTCTGTCCTGGGCTCTCTTCTCGTCTCCCACTATACTATTTCTCTGTGTTGATGATTCTCATATCTACTCATGGAGCCCTAATCTCTCTGTTGACCTTCATTCTTAGATCTCCAGCTACCTATTGGACATCTTATACTAGACATCTTAAACTCAACATGTTTGAAACTGAATTCGTTATCTTTTCCCTCAAACTCTTCCCTCTTCCTAACTTCCCTATTCTGTTGAGGGTACCAACATCCTCGCAGTCACCCAGGGTCCTATGTCAAGGCCACTCAATTTTACCTTTGGAACATCTCTAGTATACATCCCCCTTCTGCCATCGTCCTGGTACAGGCCAACATTACCTTACACATGGATAGCTACTGTAGCCTTCTGGTTGTTCTCTCTTCCCATTCCAGTCTACCTTATATTGCTGTGTCAAAGTAGTCTTCTTAAAGCATAGGTCTAACCACATCACCACCATCACAACCACTCAGTAAACTCCAGTGGTTTTCTCTATATAAAAAAATCCCCTGGTATTCAAAGCTCTTCATAACCTCTCCACCCACTATCCTCAGTATTCTCAAACTTTATAAACCCTCTCCCTGTACTTTTGTCATCTAATGACACTGCCCTATTGGCTGTTTCTCAAACAACACATTCTACCTCCCAACTCTAGGCATTTTCACTGGCTGGCCCCCATGTCTAGAATGTTTCTCTTTTCAGCCCTGCCTGTTGGTTTCCTTGGCTTCCTTCAAATCCCAGCTAAAATCCCACCCTCTAATGAAGATTTTTCCTACACACACTCCCTTATTCTGGTGCCTTCCGTCTTAATTATTTATCCTTATGTACCTTGTTTGTATGTAATTGTTGACATATCATCCTATTAGAAACTATAATCTACTTGAGAGCAAGAACTCTCTCTTGCCTTTTTTTGTATCCCCAGAACCTAGTACAGTGCCTGCAGTATAATAGTGTTTAATACATATTTATTGACTGACTGACTTAGTCTTTTGGCATAGTTTTAGAGAACCTAGGGTCACCTGCACAACATAGCCAGGGATTGGAATAGGATGTTTGTTTCATTTTACAGTAGCATCATTAATATATTTTAAGCAAACTATTGTAGCATCAAAAAATGCCTCTGTAACATTGTTCATTTGATCACCCAAAGCAAAAATCAGATGGCCTAAATATGGCTTTAGCTTACTCATATATAATATCATTTCACCTAATGCTTTGAATTGGAGGAACAGTTAACACTGTTAGGTGAAGTAAGCAGGTACCTTCCTTTTAAAATGTATTATAAAGAAAAACAGCTTTAAAGGACTTAAGAACTCAGTCCAGTGCAGTGGCCAACCTCAGTTCCACAGTCTTGTAATGAAGCATGCTGTCCATCTCCTCACAGAGTTGGTGCTGGATCATCACTAATATAGAATGAGACAGATGTTTTTGGACATAGCCAATGCAAGAATTTGCTTTGCCTGATTATGAATATTTGTTACAGGACTTTATTTTTTTTCCAGTTGGGGAGAAAGGGGCAGGAAAGGGAAGGGAGAAATAGGAATAGAGTAGCCAAAAAAACAAAAGGAAAAGAAAAGAGGATCATTGAAGCATTTTTTTAATGCACAGAAGGAAGGCCAGAAAGAATCACAGATAAAAGAATTTTAAAGGTTGCATGTTAAATTTATTATATATTTAAAAGGAAAGCAAGCTATATATAATAAGAGATTTGAAGTTTCATGAAATAGTGTGTATACACACCCTGCACCTTCATATATGTACATATAAAATGTTGTACTTAGAATTAAGAATCCTGCCTCAGACACTTACCATCTTTGTAACCTTGCATAAGTTGCTTAACCTTTATCAGCTACAGTTTCCTTCTCTGTAAAATGGGGGAAATAATAGCACCTACCTCCCAGGGTTGTTGTGAAGATCAAATGAGATCACATAGAAAACACATTCAGGCATCATGTACACACCTACATTTCTGTTACTCTACGGAAATGTCCTTTTTTATTTGGTGGTGTTGAATTCAGAATTTTTTTAAAAAACCAAAACTAAAATGTTGTAATATATTTCCTTAAAATGAACATCTTTATTTAGAATCGAAGGCACCAGTATCATTTTGTATATAATGCCTTATTAATTTTTGTGGTATTACTATGAGGTAAATGCTGTATATTATCTGCATTTTAAAAACAAAAACAAGATGATTTGCCCAAGACTCAAAAAGGAGTAATAACAGATAACGGGTGGGAAATGCAAAGAAAAGAGAGACAAGAGGAAGATGACTTTTTTCTTCCCTTTCAAAATATTGTATAGGTAGTCTTCTACTTAAAGCAGAGGTTCTTAACCTTTTTTGTAGTACACCTTTGGCATTCTGATGATATCTGTAGACCCTTTATCAGAATAATGTTTTTAAATACATAGGAATACAAAGAAAACCAATTGTACTAAGATATAGTTGTCAAAAAAAAAATTTTTTTTCCATCAAATTCATGGAGTCTCTGAAATACTAACTTAGAGATAGCAAGGCATAGTGGATAAAAAGCCAGCCTCAAAACCCAGGAAGACTTGGGTTTAAGTCCTGGCCTTATCTGTGTGACTCTGGGCAAGTTACTTAAACCCTCGGGCTCGTAAGACTGTTAAATTGCAGAGAAGATGCTGACTTGTATTAGTAGAAATTTTTTCACCTGGGAGTTCCCTGTACTGATGAAATCACAGGTCCAGTCCCCTTTCCTTATCCCTTTTGCTTAGAGAGTCAGAGCCCTAGAATGCTGGAACTGGAAGGGACACACCATAGAGAACACCTAGTCCAAATCCCTCATTTTACAGAAGAGGAAACTGTGGTCCAGAGAGGTGAGTTACAACTTCATTTCATATTGTATATTTAATATTTTAGATGAGAAAGTGAGCTGGTTTTAAGGTTATAATACAGTTTTCAGACCATTGAATAAAACTCAAAGAAACAAATTTTTCTTATCAAAATAAAGAAAATTTTTAAAATATTTCTCCTTCAAACTTTCAGCTTTCAGTGTTTTTTCTCTTTCAGTCTGTTGTATTATCTATTCATATGGGCACTAGACATGGATTTTTTGAAGAACAGCTTCATGATATCTAACAAACTTGAAGGTTTTAGTAGCACACTTTTATGGACCATATCAATCTAAAACCATGTGCCTGAAACTAATGCAGTGACCGTGAATATGATGCCGAGGTGGGGGCTGGTCCACAATCACCCAGGGAGCAGATGGCACAGCTGGGGCTCAAACACAGGTCTTCTCACTCCATAGCAAGACCCTTCTCACCACACCACGATGCTTCAGTGGAGCCATGATTTTATCCACTTCAGCAGTCACTTTACTGGTGCACATTACAGCTTCTCTTATCCCCTGCAATTCTTGTGCGCCTCTTTATCTAAATTCTTCACAGAAAGGGGATCTGCTGAAAATAGTAAAAGTCCTCCTACAGTTCTCTTAATATTTCCTGGATCTCCGTGCAATACCTGGATATGTTGTGACCCTACTCTTGCTACACATTGACCCACATCATGTAGTCAGACATAAATGATGTATCTTTCATTGCACTTCTCACATGCAGATCATTGTTGGTAATATGCCACGGTGGCATGACACCCAGCCTGTCTGAAGCGGCAAGGCAGCCTGAGGGAGAGATGGAGCAAACCACTGCTTACCATCTCTCCTCAGAACTCAATGGAGATAAGCCCACAAGCAGCAGGAACAGCAGTGCCCCACGCCCCCCTCCAGACCACTGGTCCTGCCTCCAGCCTCTCCCAGTAAGCCATCATTAAAAGGAGCAATTCTTGTGGATAAGTACCTCTTCCCCAGCCTTGCCACCACTAACACCAACAATCACCAAGGGGTAGGGAAGCCCACGAGCCCTAGTTGGTCAGTAAACATTTTTAAGAACCTGTTTTGTGTCAGGCACTGTGCTGAGCGCTAGAGTTACCAAAAAAAAAAAAAAAAGGCAAAAAAACAGCCTGGAGCAATTCATCCTCTAATGGGGAGGAGGGGGCAGGATGACAGCCAAACAACTGAATGCAAACAAGATCAAGTCAGACTAAATTGGCGCTAAGTCAACCGAGGGAAAGGAGGGCATTAGCATTTAGGGGGTATTCCTCTAGAAGGGGGGATTTTGAAGGAAGCCAGGGAAGACAAGGTAGGTAGAGGTGAAGAGGAAGAAAGTTCCAGGATTGGGGGCCAGCCAGTGAGATGAACAGAGTCCAGGCAGTGGATTGTCCTGTGGAAGGAACAGCAAGAAGACCAGGGTTACTTAGCTTGAAATCATGCTGAAAGCCTGGTGTGATTTCTCAAATGACGAGCCTGTTGACATATTACAAAATACTGAATTGCAGTGTCACACTTATTAGTGTCATATCATGCTAGGAGATGCTTGCTGTCTAACCTATTCTGTCTAATGCATTTAACTAGCCTTCTTCTATCTTCATCTGCGACATTCTGGGATTTAAGGAAGAAGGAGAGCATCTCCTTTTACAGATGAGGAGAGTGAGTCCCAGTGACCTCAAATGCCTCCCTGAGCTCATATTCAACATGTAGCAAAGTCTTATTAAGTTCCCAGACTCCAAAGTCAGGGCTCTTTCCATGGCATCACTCTGTTTCATAAGGATATGTCATGATTTGAAGATGGAGAGAATGGGGTAGAAATGTAAGGAACAGTCACTCAGCTGGGAAGTAGGCCTGAGTTCTCAACCCATTTCTGCTACCAAGAGCTGTTACCTCTATGGGCCCAGCTTCCTGAATCTGTTTCTGTCAATCTGAATCTATCAATTAAATATCTGTTAAGTGCTTACTTTCTAAAAGAGACTGTGTAGACACTAGAAACAAAAATGAAACATTCCCAGTTCCTCAGGAAGTTTATACTCAACTAGGCAGTAGCTAGTGCAGTGGATAGTGTTGGGCCTAAGTTAAGATCTGAGTTCTCATCTTCCCTCTGATAGTCATTAGCTGTGTAACTTTCGGCAAGTCACTTAACTTCTCTGTGCCTCCTTTTCCTCATCTGTAAAATGGGGATGGTAATAATAGCATCTTCCTCCCAATGTTGTTGTGAGGATAAAATGAAATATTTGTAAAATACTACCCAAATGCTAGCTATTTTTTTATACTGGCAAAATGGATAGCTATACAAATATGCATAGGACAAGGAAAATTGAAGAGAGAGAGTGCATTGCATTTGGAGAGGGGTAGCAAGGTCAGAGGAGATTTAGTGGAAAAGGTAGCCCCTAAGTTGAACTTTGAAGGAAGTTAAGGATTCAGAGAGGCAGAAAGGAGGAGGTAACACATGCCAGGCATGAGGAATAGCTTGTAATATACTAGGCAATAAATATACTAGGTAGGTAGAGTTAGTAATGATTAACTTGCAGGTATTTGTTTTTATTATTAATAAGCTCATTTACATTTTAAGAACTTAAGATTTACAAAATACTTTCTTTACAACACCTCTATGTGTAGATAGCATAAGGACTAGTAACCTATTTTACAGATGAGAAACAAACTAAGGTTAAATGAGCTGCCCATCCATGGACATAGAGCTGGTGAGTGTCAGAGCCAGGCTACCACACTCCAAATCTTTCACTGGTTCCTGTTGAGCCACAGTTGCTACTGCTTTCTATATTATGTTGTCCTCAAGTTACGTCTAGTTAAAACCAAGATCTTACTTCAAAGAGATAGAATTCTGTAAGCCCTTTTTTAGTAGACATAAGGTGCCTCATTTCTTAACCATATAACTATTTATTAAACCATCTCATAAACTAAATTTATTTGATCCTGTGCTCATGGTACATTTTTATGTTAATTGGATTTTGTAAATAAAGTAATTTATTTTCTCTTGTATTTTGGTGGTGACATAGTCCACAAGTAATAGTCTATTGAAAGTCAAAAATCATAAATATAATAAATATTTTGCCTAAGGTTTACTTTCATATCTGAATCTTTTATATATTGAAAGGTTTATTCATGTTTTTTAGCTATGAACTTTATTTCTAGTGTTGTGCTTCATTGTTTAAGTATACAGAGTTCTGATTTTCAAATTACTTTTTTTTTTTTTTTTTTGACCCAAATTCTTATTTTCTCATTGCAGGCAAGAAGACAACAAGACCCTAGCCCTGGTTCCAATTTAGGTAGTGGTGATGATCTCAAACTACGTTAATTAGCAGCAACAGCAGATGTCACCATCAATCTTGACATATATATTGCTTCAACTTAGCAGAGATAATTGAATAAAAGACCAGAAACTGTGATAACTGGATATACTATGGTCTGTTTCCTGACCTTAAGCAGTCACAGGCATCATGAACTGCCATGGTTTGCACTATGTTCATGTTATAATACCTGCATTTCTCCTTTTAGGCATGTAGCTAGTGATAGTTTGAAATTTTGTTTTACTATGCAAGCTTACTTTTTTGTTATTACTTTAGTAAAATTAAAATTTGTCCAGTTGTAAAACTATTTTCTCCTCAATTCTAATTAAGGAGTTAATGTCATAAAAATAGGTCAAGAAATTACAGAAGTTTTTTCTACACATTTTTAATTTTTTATGGACTTTTAGAAATTTTGTTATATTGCTTCATTTTAGATGTGCATTCTTAAGTTTTTTGCCACTTTTTTCTTTTCCAAGTGTAAAATATCAGTAAGACGATATTTTTCACATTATTTTTACAATATTTACAAGCTAAACCTAGTAGCACAGAGCTGTCTACCACAGCTTTCTAACATGTTTCCAGTTGTTAAAGTTACAGTATCCTTTTTAATGCTAACAAATTGGTTTCCCTTCCTCCTTTCCTAAATGTTTTTAAAATTTGATATTACTCTACATTCTGTCCAGATCTGTTTTTAGATTTTTTTTTCTGTATTGAATGAGTTTAAGTTGTGGTTTATTTCTTTAAAATATTCTACTAAAGCTCATAAGAAGTCACAGGTTGGCTTCTGTTTTATTCAGGGATTTTTAAAAGTTATTCCAAAAAAGGGGATACTGTAGTGTCTTCACAGACTTAGCAGCCTGTCAGACTGGAGACGGTGAGGAAGCAGCTACAAAGGTGATCATTGTATGAAAAAAGCATGTTTCACATATCTACTTTATCTGTATTTTCTATTATGTGCCTTTTTTGTTGTTTCTGAAAAAAAAATCCAGATGGTGAAAGGACAGGCTTGTGCAGGAAATGTTAATCCCGTGTAGACGAGTGGTCTGTTGTCTTCTAGAAACTATTCTAAGGGAGAAAAAAGAATGGTTAATCTTGATGGCATTTCCCAACAAGATTCATAGTAGAAATTGTTCAAGATGAATTCGTGTAAGAATATTTTTTTACAATAGGCTTCTTACCAAAATGATATCATCCTTTGTTTGAAACAAAACTGGAAAAAGTGGTGTCACTTGGCACCAATTTCCTAATATTTTTCACAGCCATATTAATTGTCATCACATTTATGAACTTAAAAAATGTATTTAGTTATAATAAAGTAACTATGTTATGGGTTTAAAGGGGAAAAACCCAATAGTTTCCTGTCCAGTTCAGTAAATGAACTAAAGTCTCACTGAGGTAATTGTGTATAATGTACTTGTTTGTGAAGAAGGAAGTAATGTTCAGTATGGCTATAGATAGAACAGATAATATCCTGTATCTCAAAATAAAAGTGTTTGATATATATTTGAAGTCATGCATGATAAGCAGTGTGTTCAAAGGATCTTAAATATTAATACATGAACAAAGATCATGTTGATCTTTCCTATAATTAAGTATTTGGAATGCATTATTCTCACTTTCGTTAGTATTTGGCATTGTCTGGCTCCCATGTTTACACACACACACACACACACACACACACACACACACACAC